CTGCAATGGTTTCATAGAGCTGAGTTTCTACGGTGTATGAAGTCAAATTAAGCCTTGAGGGGAGCACAGAGCAGCCAAAATGGATTGGCATCCCCCAGCAGTGATGTTCAGTCTGCATCCAATCATATTTCAAGTTAGCAAAGAGAATACAGAACAACCTGTATGGAGCCAGATACATTCAGGAGCTCAGACAGGAAAAAGTCAATTACGCCACCGAGAACTGAGCAGAAGGCATATAATTCACTGCTGACAGAAAGGGAATGCAAACCTGTAAGTAAAGACTGAGTTATTATATAAATTATATTTGTATTGGAGAGCCTTAAACATAAAAGATGTTTGGAACGGTATCGTTTTCAGAAACACTTTCATCTTTTAAGACCAAGTTTAAACTAAACCAATAAACAGCAAGCTTTATGGTTAAGCAAGACTTATATGTTCAAAAGGACCTTATTGGACAACAATATAACCTGGACTGAATCTGGACCTGGATCAATTCTTGAGCCAAAGGCCTCCCTGGAGACTTCTATTTAATGATCCACACAAATGCAGAGAGCTCAAATGAGACGAAATTATCAGGAGTTCAAGAAGAAAAAACTTTATAAAAAAGAAAAGAAACAATGATGACTTAACCTTATATTCCTGAAAATGTGAGAAATCTGTTCTTCTTCATGAATCACTGTTTACCCAATCCACCAGGACCCTGAATAAGTGCAGTCCTGAGTTTAAAGTGCTTTCCTATACCAGCCTGCTCCACTCCGTGTGCAGGAGAGACCGGCTATAAAGTGTGGCAACAGGGAAAAACCTGGGTTACACTCTCACCTTGGTCTTGCCCAGCTGCCACTCTGCACTGCTGCTGTCATATTGGCAGAGCAGCTGGACGCAGCACCCTCTGGGGTCTTCTGAATTCAACAAACCACGCATCAGCACCTTGTACCTGAAGAAGTAAAAGCAGGGGTGAAGGGTTTTTGCATGATTTTTAATGATTGCTTTGTTCTTTAATGTCTGCATTTCAAGAACTGAAATGACCCTGCGCCTGTTTTGGGGTCTGACATTTTTGGTAGAGCAGTGCTTATGTATGATTGCACAGCGTAGTGGGTACAAACCTCGAGCAGAAGTCCTGAATAGTTCTCCGGACAGGGAAGCCGGTGCGTCGAATCTTGACTGTTTCCAACATGCCGGAATACCTGAGCTGGTTCAGAACCACCGTCTGGTCAAAATGATCAGGCATCTTTGAAGAAAAACGGGAAACATATTCAGATGAATGTCTCTGTGTTCAAGTAAAAGTAATATTGTCTCGAAAATCAAGCACAAACAAACATCAACAGATTGAGCATCCGCCTGCGTCCTGCAGCAACAGCTAACGATTTTCATTCTTTGACGACAGAACACTTTAACAACACAGCGCACATCTATTGATGTTCCCCTACAAATCACTCAATGCTGCTTTCATAACACTGTTACAACAATACTAACAAAGTGAATCGCCTTTCACATTGCGACCTTACCACTCAGCATGGTGCTCGGTGACGTAATGTTTTTCACTGCAGTTTTGGTTGATTTTGCTTTCTGACTTATTTTCTGTGTTTGCAGCATCGTGTGATTTTGATGTATTTTGTTGTGTTTCACTGAGGTGGTCATTGCTTTGTGAGTGTGGCTGGCAAAAACGTTCAGAAAGAGTAGCAACACATCACATGTGAACACCATGCCAACCAGATGGCAAAACAGCCGATGCACATAAGCTTGCTAAAGCTGGCTAACACTTAGTTCTAAAGTGTTACCTTGGTATAATGTGTTTGGTTAGCTGTAGGTAAGTAAGGCAAGTGCACACTTACAGATAGCTTTATGAATTCTACACAATAGATTGCAACACAAACTGCACACCGAAAAATGCTTTAGCTCAACTTAAAGAAACACAGTGGCTTTCTAAAATTTGGATATTTGACATATCAGAGATAACGTGCTTGCTCTACACACAGGCATAATTGTTTCTGGACATGCTTCCCCCTGTTTGCCCAATGGCTGTATTCTGGTTATACTCCTATATAAAAGCAAGGTTGCCAAGCATCTACATCATTTTGTAGTTAAACTGCAGTCCTGCATTAACCGCCCAACTACTTTTGTTTCAGATCTATGAGCTTCAGGCTGGTCTGAAACTGGAATTTCTGTGTATATAGATGCAAACAATTTCAGATTTTCACTAATCTATCAAAGGTAATGGCCATATTATCACTAACACATGCATTTCTACCTTCACTCCATTCAATGGCAAACACACTTTACCAGTACTGTACTGTACCATGAAGGGGTGTGTGTGTGTGTGTGTGTATTACTCACATCTAAGTTATTTGCTAGCAGATAAAATTGACCAAAGTTTCATGATGTTCAGAAAAGGCAGACATTTTTAAGTCCATGCCTTCAAAATTCAAACTATCTATATGGATAAACTGAAGTGCAGGTTAGAAAAAATATATACATTTGATTTCTAGAAGATTTGTCCCCTGTGAAAAGCACCTTCTTATATCACAGACATGGCAACATTATCACTGGAGTCACGTTTCACTTTGCATCACAAATGCAGCTCCTTTGACTTTGGTTATCTGGCTCCTCAGAAGCTGCATGTTGTTAGATTGTGTACAGCAATCTTATCACAGCTCATTTGTTTGAAACAGCAGTCTACTGATACAAACTCAGTTGATGTGAGAACAGAAAAAGAAGCAAAACTAGGCAATGAAAGAAGCTAAAAATCCCCAAGAATGAATCCTGGATAACTGAAACAATCCACCCATATCACATGACGTCTGCAGCTAAGCCTCATGAAACTCCAGTCCCTTTAAACTCTCATGTACACGCATCCAACTGCATACCAGCCATTCAAAAGTCTGAACTCTGAGACAAAGAAATGCGTATGACAGCAGCAGGCAGCAACAAACCAATCCCTCCCCTCTCCAAAAACACACTTGGCTCTGAGATACCATTATTACTTACAGAAGTGCATTCAGAGAAAGCCATTTTCCCGGGAGCCCTCTCACCCTGTAACCTCGGTGGGCGTAGAGGGGGACTCCAAATAAGAGGGTGCTTTCATACTCGATCGTAATGCCCCCTTTATTCAGCGACCGTCTCCCCTGATAGCCCGCTGATAGTCCATTTGAGCAGTTGAGATGAAGGCAGGCCAATTCACCACCAGATCTTGACTGAATGATTGAATGGCGCCCTTTTTACTGCCACTGGTTGCAGAGTGCACCTTATTAGCATAATTTGCATTTGCATACGGCCAGGCTGTGGAGGTACAAAGCCAAGCGGTGTCGGGAAGCTGCCCTCTGCCTCCTGGCTTTCTTTGGCCCCACTATCGCTTCCTCTTTTTGCTCAGCTTTCGGCTGCTTCTGGGATGTCAAATACAGCTTTGTCTGGATGCTCCTCTGTCTTGTTCTTCTTCGGCTGTCTGGCCAGCTTCAAACTGTCTGTTCTCTTTGATTTTTAAGAAGTTCCAATATGTTTCCACTGGCATTTTTTCTTTTTTTTTTTCACCAATCAGAAAGAAGGTCAGAGAGAGACTTTCCTACTTTATTCATCACATTTTCTGTTTTAGAAAGATTCATTTTTTCCTTTGTAGTCAGTATTTTTAGTGCTGAATGTAAGCAAACAGCTGGAAAGGAGAGGAGATAATAGATCAGGTGAAATTATATCCCTACAGAGGAAAATACACCAGGCTCTCACACAGCTTTTGGTATTACACAAAATCACGCGAAAGCATTTGACACATGAATATAGCCTTTAGGTCTCACAAAATAGGGCAAGTGTCTGGACATTTTCACATAAACAAATTATGTTTGGTATAATTGTTTGGAAAATTCTCCCATTTTTCCCTCTCTGGAGCCAGGAGCCAACTGTTTTTATTACTAAATCAACTTTAATACATGGCCATCCCTTGTATATGAGGCTGGTCTCATCCCAGTCTGAGGCTGGCTGTTACGCTTTAGATTTAACAAAGGACAAATGTACCTAATTTCACTTGGATATAAAATAAATCATTCACTAAACATCAAATTTTTTTTAAACACGAGAAGGCTGCCAAGTTATAAGGATACATGTTTTGGGGAGAGTTACCAAGAATCTAACAATCCATCAGCCCAGAACAACAAAAGTGACATGAATCAGCTATCAGGGGAAGGCGGAGCATCCCAAGCCTCCACAGGTGCATGACAACAAAAGCCTGAGGGGTCGATTCAGTAACTTTCTCAGCCCAACTTTCCAGCTAAAAGATCCCAAACTCGGAGCATTCAGCTGGACAAAAGGAGTCGTGGTAGTCGGCTCCCGAGGGGGTTGGGAACTGGCGGGGGTTAAAAAAGCAAACAAGGAAAAACAACCAAACTCAGGATGAGCTGTCCATCCTTCAGTCCCAGTGACAATGTCCAGAGAGCCGCATTTCATCATAACCAGCGACTGCTCCATCATTTTTTAATAGTCCTCAGGATAAGTGCAGTAAAAGTCACAAAACCACTATGTGGCTAAGATATGGATATTTGAAGCTGAAACAGAACGCACAGCAGAAACATGAAAACAAAATCAAAAGAATTTGCAGCTGTGCTGAAGCCTGAGATGTCAAAATGTCCTTTCTCGCCTTCATGAACTACAATTGTTTCTTTTTAAAAAATAAAATCTAATTAATGACAAAATGAGATCTGACGTTTACTTTGATAGAACAAAGGAACCGTTACCTACTGGCTCATAGTTAAAGCTTAGTGTTTAAAAGGTTCATCTCTATAAACAGACACAAACGAGCATGCAGAATATGATGTTAGAAGCTTCTGGCTTCCATTTGTTTTCCTGATAAGATAAGATAAGATAACCTTTATTAGTCCCACGCGTGGGAAATGAGTTTTGTTACAGAAGTGAACAGTGCAAAGGTGCAACACTGGAATAAGATATCAATAAGATACTGTACACAATAGAATAGAATAAAATACAATACAATACTATATACAATCGAATAAAATAGTACAAAATAGAATACAAATGCTATATACAATATGAGAATAATACAACGATGTACCCAGGTTCTGTTGGTAGGTGCAGGTACACAGGTACAGTGTCTGCAATGGTTCCATTGAGCTGAAATTATAAATCGTAAATGTTTGGTGAGCCCAGGGTGTAAGTCAGGTGGATACCTGATGGGACCCAGAGTGAGAAAAGGTTTGTTGTTAATCCAAGTTTGTTTTTAGATAATAAATTAAACTCTCATTTTGAAAATGAATATTTATGAAAAAAAAGGAAGAAGCTCTTAAAGCATGGCTGTAATACATGTTTAACTGTGTTGCTCTGATATAAAGCTGCAGTTCATTGGCCACAGGCAGCAGTAATTGAATGATGAACATCATTACTCAGAAAGTATAAAAATAGGACAGAGAAAGACTGACTGCTGTTACAGTATTTGCTGTAGTCTGCACTTCAAAGTCCAGATTCTTCGGATTAAACAGCAAATTTGACAAAATCTAAACCAAAGCCTTCTAACAGCTTATTTTGTCCAATATAAAGTCCACAATCCAAAAGCATTCAATGTACAGTGGCTTTAAAGCAAGCAATCCAAACGTATTTGAAGCCTTTCCATCTTTGCAAGGATCAACATTCCTGCTCTACTGAGCGGACTGAAGGCGTCAAGAGCCCCAAAACCTCTCTTTGTCAGACGGCTCTTTTCCTGTGAGCATCCAGGTCCGCCTGTGGGAGCCAGCTGGATTATCACTCACTGCTCAGTGGGGGCTCCTCCAAAGAGTTTTCGGGGAATCCCCGGAACAATGTTTTCACTCACAGGTGGACATAAATCCAGCCTAAATCCCTGACCCTGCTGGACTTAGAGTTAAACCACTTTGAAGAAGGATTGTTGTGGGTTTGGATTTCTTGGTAATATCAACGGCACAAAAAAAGGTAATGCAACTGAAATGAAACTAATAAAACAACTTTTCCACTAGTGGCTCATCTTTGACAAATCCTCTTTTGGAAAATATCTGTGCTGATTTGAACAACACTTCTTAACCCTCTCTCATGTGAGTATCAGTTTTAATGAACCCTGAACCTGAGCTCCAGCAAATAGGTCTGAGCTGTATAAGAGCCCTGATATACTTCGAAAAAAGAGAAACCATCAATAAACCAGTAAAAAAATGTGTAGCCTGATGCAGAAGACATTTCAATTATCAGTTAATCCATCAATTAGTTCACTGGGTGAGTGCCCGGTCA